TCGGGTGCGGCTAGGAGCGGCCAGGTGTGGTAGGTTGCGGTCGGGTGCGGTGCGATGTGATCTAGTGCGGTGGAATGCGGTTGGGTGCGATCTAGTGCGGTGGAATGTGGTGGCCGCGGGTCAAAGGGCGCGGGCAGCGGCAAGGGTTTGGGAGTGTGCGGCGGGTGCGGGGTGCGTACGAAGTGCGGGGTGCGGGGTGCGAGCGGGGCGAGGCCGTGGGGCCTGCTAACAGGGGGCCGCGGGGCCTTCTTACATGGGGGGGGGGGGGAGGGCGCGAGGCCTTCTAGCGGAGGTCGCGGGACCTTCTGAAGGGGGGCCGCGGGGCCTTCAAACGGAGGCCGAGGGGCCTTCTAACTGGGGGGCCGCGTGGCCGTTGGAAGAGCGGGGTGCGGGGTGCGAACTGGGTGCGAGCGGGACGACGGGGTGCGGTCGGGGCGCGGGGTGCGTACAGGGCGGGCGGGGTGCAAACGGGGTGCGGGGTGCGTACAGGGCGGACGGGTTGCAATCAGGGACCAGGTGCGGGCGGGGTGTGGGGTGCGCACGTAACGACGGGGTGCGAGCGGGGCGACGGGGTGCGAGAGGGGCGATGGGGTGCAAGTGGGGCGATGGGGTGTGGGCGGGGCGTGGGGTACGTATGGGGCGGACCAGGTGCGATCGGGGCGACGGTGTGCGAGCGGGGCGACGGGGCGCGAGCGGGGCGACAGGGTGTTAGCGTGGCGCGCTAAGCGACGACGGGGTAACGGGGCGCGGGGCAACAGGCTAACGGGGCACGGGCGCGGGCACGAGCTACTGGCGGGACTAGGGTGGGGTGCGGGGCGGTGGGAAAGAAAACTCGCTCTATACCATGTTAAACTACTAACGGAAGAATGAATGACTAGAATAGAAGCGTACAAGGTTAGGCATAGGAAACCCTATCTGCCTAGCACAAAACGAGTAACACCTAGACTAAAACAAACAAAACATATGGAATATAATTTGACACACAATCCCTCCCACCACTCCTTCACCCCAACCCCCTCCCTCCCCCTCCCCACGGTGGCAGGCGTTGCAGGGAGAGAGAGGAGAAGGAGGGCGTTGATGCAGTGGCGTGGCGTCTGCAGCGACTTCATCCACCCTCGCCTCTCCTTCACCCACCCCTCCCCCCGCCCCCCACAGCGACAGTCGCGGATGGGGGGGTGCAGGGCGGCGGCAAGGGCGCAAGTGACTGCGGGGAGGCGAGGCAAGGCGCTGGCCAGGGCCACAATTGGCGCTACAAGTGCTGCTTCCACGACTGCCAAAGTTGCGCCTTCTGCAACAGCGTTTGCGCCCGTGCGCGGCAGCTGTAGGTGTGGCAGCTGCAGGCTCAGCAGTTGCGATCGTGGCAGATGCCGTCGCAGCAGCAGCGTGGGTGCCGCGGCGCGATCGACACCCCCTTTCGCCTCCCTCCCACAGCGTCCGCCGCCGTAGTAGAGCGCGGCTGTGACTTCGGGCCGTGGCAGAGCGGCAGCTGGGGCGTGATGGGGCCGCAGATGAGGCGCTACGAGGGCGCGAGCGATGGCGCGGCGACGCAGCGAGCCGACAAGGCTCGCCGTTGCGGCCATCGCGACCGTGGCGATGGTCGTATCGACGGACGCGCGACTGGTAGAGCGAGCCACGTGCGGCGGCTAAGGGTGGGCCCATAAAAAAAAAAAAAAAAAAAAAAAAAACAAACAAACAAACAAACAAACAAACAAACAGTAGCTACGGTTGGTGTGTGCATATGCTTAGGAGCCTAGGCAAGGGATCCCAGATGCTTGTGCCAAGGAGAAAGTCGTGAATAGAAGGGTTTCATTATAGGAAAGAAGAAACACATTGGAAAGGAGAAAGAGGCAAAGGGTAAACCACCACCCAAAGTAACTAATAACTACACTAAGCTACACTACAGGCAGTTTTATAGAAGGCATACAAACGTAGATAGAGCACGTTGCTTCCGTCGCCTCGACGACCTCTTTCGTCTGTGCTTCGGTCATCAGGCTGCTCTCCCGGACTGGTACTCTCTTAATGCAGCGTGGTGTGCCTATCTTTGCTATGGATATTGCTGATGTTTCTGCTGCCTTGTATGCTTTTGACTTTAGTGTTGTTGGACCTTAATATTCGTGTGCATCTAGTTTAGGATCTCTATGAGCTTCTTGTGTACGAGCAGGAGCAGACACGTGCGGCGCAACACGACTCAAAAATCTTCTCGTTAACCAGTGGGCAGCAGAAGCGTCATTGACAATTGTACATGCGACAGCGGCAGCGACTACAGTACACATCGACGCTCCAAAGCCGAGGCTACCCGAGGCGTTCGATCCGAGCGTGAAAGGCAGCGACGTTCGTCGATTCATCGCCGTCCTCGAAATTAACTTCGAAGCCGTTGGATGCACGACCCCGAACCATGACGTGACTCGTATACGGCTCGTAGCGACACTGTTACGAGGCTCGGCCCGACATTGGAATAGATATTCGTCCGAGGCGAAGGGTCGTGGGTGCAGTTTCGGGCAGCACTGATCGAAAGGTTTGAACCGATTAACACATGTTATATGGTGCGCGAACATATCCACCGGCACAGACAGTTCAGGAGTGTAGCTCAGTACACCCACCAGATGGAGATTTACTTCAACATATTAGAGTCCTACATCGCGGGGCTAAAAAGGCATTAGCGGATTGTTATATAGGCGAAGTATTCCGGCAACGGTAACGTGCTCGCGAAAAGAGCCCTGTCGGGCCTGATGTCGAGGTTGGGAATTGTCGAAGCATAGGGCCGGGTCGCGGGTTACCAGACGAGCCGGGTGGTGGGGCGCGGTGGTCGTGTTGGCATGAGCAGCGTCGAGGCGAGTGTCGCGAGGTGGTAACGGGCTACTGTTGGGTGTACTGTTGGGTGTACTGTTGGGTGTACTGTGGCGGGAAAAGTCGTGTACACGGTATGCAGTGTAACGCGAAGTAAGGAAAAGTTGTTTTCTTTATAGTATGCAAAAACACCGAGAGGCGCAGACTTCGTGTGATCTATTTTGCGTAGTAGGACGTGTTTCAGAGCGAAATCGACACAAAAACTGCTCGTGCAGTAACCGTGATGTCGCACGCCCCTGGGAGTCCCTGTACGGCGATATATCGCGTTACGCCTGGTCGTTTTTGTTCGTTAACATGTAACTTAGTAGGGTTCAGTCGGGTGCCCAATGGTCTAAAGTGGTTAACACTGGAAACCGTTCCCACCGTCATCTTTTCAACGTATTGAACCGCTCTAAGGGTACATTCCTGACCTGCGGATGACCAGAAGTTGGACCCACTTTGGGTCATCCGAGACCAACTTCGGGTCTTCCGGCCAAAAATTGCCCCTGTTTTCGGAAGACATAAAGTTTGACAGGAAGTTTAACCCAAAGCTCCGGGTCTTCCCGGGAAGGCCCGAAGCTTGACACGAGCCAGGAACGTACCCTAAACGAACCCACAACCAATAAATGTATTTCGCCCTTACGGTGTACTGTTTCAGTTTTTGACGCTGTTACCCTAGGAAATAAGAACGCAGTGGCCCAAAGCTCCATTTCGTTCGTCAACTGCTGAATCCATCCATCAACTGCCGTGCTGCACCGCCTTTGTCAACCTCGTCCCCCAGAGATTTCTAAAACCTGTAGGACAACATTTGGCTCTCGAATCACATCCATCCATCAAATGATGATATACACAATGCGTCTAGTCGCGTCGTTCGAACGAAAAAAATATTCCACGTGGCGCCTAAATCAGGAGGTTCTGGCGCCGAGTCGTCTGGTTCTGACGTTCCATCCGTGCACGTGAAACATTGGGAGTAGATGGATGGATATTTTTATGCCCGTTGTCGTTACCGCGTGCTGTTTTGCAGCCACAAGTGTCGACAGTGGCGAGCTGCTAGTAGCGTTTGTGTCTGGCCGCAACCTTCAAAGTGGTAGTTCACCGCCGCCTCTGCCAGAAGACGCCAAACCGATCGGAGAGGAAAACTACCCGGCTCGCTTTCTTACCTCTCCTGAGCCTCGCTCCCGGCCATTGCTCCCGGGCCTCTCTCCCGGGCCTCGCTACCGGGCTTCGCTCCCGAGCCTCTCTCCCAGGCCTCGCTCCCAGGTCTCTCTCCCGGGCCTCGCTCCCGGCTCGCGCCTGGTATTCGCTTCCAGCACGCAATTCCTCCTGCCCTCGATGCCGGCGTCGAACCAGCCACACTCCCTCCCGGTGAACATCGCCGTGCGGCTTGTCATCCAACGGTCCCTTCCCGCGCCAGGCGTACAAATGGGCTGCCGCGACCAAGCAAGCAAGCACGCAGCTGACTCTTTACGCTCTAGTATCCTGGACACCATCCCCTCCCGTCCCAGTTGTAATCAGGTCCTTAGTAGTCTTAGGGAATTCACGGCCCGTCCTCACACGCGCTCCCACCGCTGCATTGGACGCGCCGCTACTCGCCGCTCCGAGCCTCTTCTAAGTGATCACACCACCTAATCCCAGACCTTTCGTTGCCGCACCAACCTCCGGACCTACTGCGGATCTACTGTCGGAACTAGTACTGGCAAGCCTGTCCAATGGCGTCCGTCAAGTCGAGCCCCATCCGTCTCCCCATCATGCTGCTGCTGCTGGTGCTGCTCCTCGCAGGTAAGCGGCATGCTACCAGCGAGGAGGGCTTTGAACCTTATGATTCAGTGTCACGCACTTACCTTGAGCTCAGTGTCACGCTCTTACCTTGAGCTCAGTGTCACGCTCTTACCTTGAGCTCAGTGTCACGCTCTTACCTTGAGCTCAGTGTCACGCTCTTACCTTGAGCTCAGTGTCACGCTCTTACCTTGAGCTCAGTGTCACGCACTTACCTTGAGCTCAGTGTCACGCTCTTACCTTGAGCTCAGTGTCACGCTCTTACCTTGAGCTCAGTGTCACGCTCTTACCTTGAGCTCAGTGTCACGCTCTTACCTTGAGCTCAGTGTTACGCTCTTACCTTGAGCTCAGTGTCACGCACTTACCCTGAGCATGTCTCTAATCGCTCTCGGAGCGATATGGTGTGCGGTGATGTGCAGTGTGGTGATGTGCTGTGCGGTGATGTGCTGTGTGGTGATGTGCTGTGTGGTGATGTGCTGTGCGGTGATGTGCTGTGTGGCAATGTGTTGTGTGGTGATGTGCTGTGTGGTGATGTGCTGTGTGGTGATGTGCTGTGTGGTGATGTGCTGTGTGGTGATGTGCTGTGTGGTGATGTGCTGTGTGGTGATGTGCTGTGTGGTGATGTGCTGTGTGGTGATGTGTTGTATGGTGATGTGCTGTGTGGTGATGTGATGTGTGGTGATGTGCTGTGCGGTGATGTGCTGGCAGGCTCGCTGGACACTCCATGGACCACCATCCGCGATGCCTACCTTGCGGTAAGCTCCGTTTCCCGCCACCCCGCTTGCCCGTTTTAGAACCACTTTATTTTGCGTCCCCACCCACGCTGAACCCCATGCACAGCCCACGCTGAACCCCATGCACCGCCCACGTTGAACCCCATGCACCACCCACGATGGACCCCATGCACCACCCACGCCGGACCCCATGCACCACCCACGCTGAACCCAGTATTCTCTTGGTATTCGTATGCCCTCTTGCCTTACTCACTCGCGCCCTGGTGTGAACGGCAAAACAATAATGGTTGGGTGGAGGTTGCGGCGCTGGGATGGGATCGCAGTGTGAAGAAGTTGTTAGTGTTAGCCCTCAATCTCACATTTTGTACTTGTACTTTTTATATCCTAGTTTAATGTAGTTTGCACTTTGTGTTTGGTTGGGTGTACACCCACATCCCAACCAAACCCAATTGTGATCTCCAATCAATCTCTAACCCACCAATTGGAGATTGCCTTGGGATTACCCCCAATCCCCTAGGATTGCCCCTGATTCTCTCTCCATCCCCACCTTGCCCTTTTCCGATGTACTTAAAGAGCCTTGAGCTCATTACTAATGTATGGATTCTAAGCTCCAGTTCTGACATGGTATCAGAGCTCCTCAACCGCACACGCGGATCTTGATCCTCCTACCTTTGCGGAATCCTCTCCCGCACTCTTAGGTGAAGCCGCCTTTAACATTCTTCGCTCGACGTAAAGCATCGTCATCGACCTAATCTTCCCGGCCGGATTTTTTCCCGCGCCGTCTTCGTCGCCGGTGATTCGCGACATCTTTCGTGGGCAGATTCTCTCCCGCGCTTCATTTCCCGCAGTTACGAAGGCACCGATTTCTGCGTCTCGCTTAAGGTAACCGTCGCTACCATTTCCTCGCCACTCTCCCTCATCATCGTGACTTTGTTCCGCCGTTCCTCCCGCTTCGGGGTAACCCTATTTCTCTCATCTCGTCAATCGTCGGGCTGCCGCCCGTCGCCCTGCAGCGTCACCTTCGGGCTGACGCCCGTCGCCCTGCAGCGTCACCTTCGGGCTGCCGCCCGTCGCCCTGCAGCATCACCTTCGGGCTGCCGCCCGTCGCCCTGCAGCATCACCTTCGGGCTGACGCCCGTCGCCCTGCAGCTTCATCCTCGGGTTGCCGCCCGTCGCCCCGCTACGGCAGTTCTACCACCCCGCAGCTGAACAGATGCAGCCGAGCAGCAGTGTAGCAGCGAAGCTGCGAAGCTGAGGGACAGGGCCGGGGGGGGATAGGGGTAGTAGTTAGTCGACAGTTCAAAATTCGGCGTTTCCTTAAAATTCTCCTTCAGAAACCCCAAACCTCAAAATTCTCTTTCGTAAACCCTAAACCTCAAGTCCTTCAAATTTCTCCTTCGGAAACCCTAAACCTCAAGTTCATACCGGTGAGTTAAGAGCGGCACTTCGCGCGAGACCAAAAGTCTATCGTCATGGCCTTCGCTTCGGCAACCATCAACTTGTTGATCCCTGACACCGCCATGATTAATGAAGCAACCTCGCAACACATCGGCTCACCACAGGCATATATAGAATTCACACTCGACAGTGGTGCCACTCACACAGTGCTCAAGGAGACACTCTCCTTCAAACCCTACTCTACACCCATTCCTCTCTTGGGAGCTGATTCAAGCTTCACCACTTTTGCCAAGGGTTCGTCCACTGTCCCATGCCCCACATTCCCATCCGGCACGGTCACTGGCATGTGCGTGCCTTCACTACGCCACAATCTATTGGCTCAACAAGAACTTCAAAAGGCTGGGCTCCGCACCATAATCTCAGAGTACGAGGACTATTGTGACGTCATAGACCCACTCACCAACAAAGTCTTAGCTCGCTTCACCCTGAACAGCAGCGGCCTCTACACGCTGCGCGTACCTATCCCACAGATGTCAACCACCCAAGCACAAGCCACTATCACACCATGCTCATGTCGCAGTTTCGCTAACCCGACCATCCTCTACCACCATCGGCTCGGGCACCCAAACTTCCGCACGCTCGCTGACATGGCCTCTAAGAAACTTCTTCTCGGCCTACCAGCATCACTTCCTCCACCACCCGACTCTCACGCTCCCACGTGCCTTGACTGCACCAAGAGCAAGCTACGCCAACAGCCCCACCCTGCCTCACCCTCAGTCGCAGCAGCCCCACTGGACCTAGTACACATGGACGTCTGGGGCCCTGCCCCTGTTGCCGCACGAGGCGGTTATCGCTATTTCCTTGCAATAGTTGATGACCACTCTCGTTACGTCTCTGTGCACCTCCTCCACACTAAGGCTGAGGCCCCTGAGGTCATCATAGCGTGGGTCAATCTGGCACAGACCACCTTTGGCCGCAAGGTCAAGCGACTCCATTCAGATGGTGGTGGTGAATTCTGCAACGTCAAGCTCAAAGCCTTCTGCTCCTCAGAGGGTATTCTGCAAAACTTCCCTGACAGCCCGCAGCAGAACGGCATCGCAGAGAGCCGCAATCACACGTTGGCACAAATCACTCGCTGCCTCCTCAGCCACTCCCAAGCACCACTCTCACTCTGGGGGTACGCCCTCTATCATGCCGCACTCCTCTACAATCTCTACCCCCACCCACATCTCCCCGATACCACTCCCACCACACTCTGGCTCGGGAAAACACCCACTACTCGCCCTCTTCGCGTCTGGGGGTGCACCGCCTATGTCCTCCTCAACCCTCAGGCTCGGCGGCGGCAAGGTGGCAAACTCGGCCCCAAGACTCAAACATGCATCTACCTTGGGCACACCGCCGACTCCCATGACTACCTCTTCCTCAACCCCTCCACGCAACAGTTAGACCGGAGCCGTGACGTTGTCTTTGATGAGACCCGCCCCTTCTACTCCACCTCGGGGAAAGGTCCCCCTTCCGGACCACCCTCTCTCGTGTGGGCTGACTTTGATGCACCTCTTGCACTCCCGCCTGCACCAGCTCCCACACCTCCTACCTCCCCTGCCATCGCACCATCTCCCTCGGAGGTCTCTGACCCGACCTCACCGGTGTCATCGGCAGCTGCTCCCCCATCCCCCCCTTCTCCCACTCTCCCAACTGCGCCACCAGCCGCAAGCGCACCAATCACATACCATCGGCGGTCGAACCCTCCGGCCCCACCTCCTCCCCCCGTTCCCCATTCCACTCAGGAACCCGCTCTCCCACAACCGCCCGAGTTGATCACGTACCAGCGACGGCCACTCCCTCCGCCCAGGCCTCCTAAACCATCCCCTCCAGGAACGCCTGCTCCACCCTCTTCTCCGGTGGCTCATGGCACTCGGTCGCATGGGGCTGCTCCCCCACTGGCACTTGCCTTTCGATGCTCAGTGATCACTCCGAATCCTCCTGCTCGGGGGGGTGTGCCCTCTACCCTTCTAGAAGACAGGCATGAGGAGCTGTGTGATCTTCACGCTGTCATTCCTCAGCTCTCGCACATCTTCCCCGACATCACTGAATCCCCCTCGCTCAACTTCTCGGAGAACCCGACCATCCCTATCCCTCTCACCGTCCAAGAGGCTCTTTCGGGTCCCCATGTTGCCGAGTGGCGCGCTGCCATGGAAGCTGAGTGTGAAGCCTTCACTCGCAACCACTCCTTCGACGACGAAACTCCACCTCCATGAGTTAACATCGTTGGGGGCAAGTGGCTGTTTCGAGTGAAGCAGCTTCCGGACGAGGCCCCAGTGTTCAAAGCGCGCTATGTGGCCAAGGGATTCACTCAGCAGCAGTACTTCGACTTCTTCAAAACATTCTCTCCCACATCCAAACCACCCACAGTTCGCACGCTCTTGGATGTAGCCGCACGAGACGACTTTGAGATCAAATCCATGGACGCCTCTTCAGCTTTCCTTCAAGGACACCTTAAGGAGACTGTGTTTATGGACCGACCTGAAGGCTTTCCAGGAGAGTTCCCTCCCAACACTGTCTGGAAGCTGAATCGCCCTGTTTACGGCCTCAAACAAGCCCCTCGTGAATGGCACAACAAAGTGAAAGAAAGCCTTCTCTCATTGGATTTTCACCCATCATCTGCTGACCCGACTCTCTTCATTCGCCGTCACTCTGAGCCATTCTACATCCTTGTCTATGTCGATGACTTCATCCTCGTTGCCAAAGACTCGGCCCAGATGACCTCTGTCCAGGCGGCCCTGAGCAAGGCCCTTCTGATGAAAGACCTCGGTGACCTCAAGCACTACCTGGGGATGGAGATCACTCGTGATCGCCAGGCTCGCACCATCTCACTCTCCCAGGAGTTCTACATCAACAATGTGCTCAAACGCTTTGAGATGGAGCTGTGCACACCCATGGCCACCCCGCTGCCACTGCAGCACCTCCTCACAGCTCCAGCTGTTCTCACACCGGAGGCCTGCACCGAGCCATACCCAGAGCTTGTTGGGTCCCTCGTGTAAGCCATGATGTGCACCCGGCCTGACCTGGCATACCCTGTCAGTGTCCTCTATCGCTATGTGGCTCCTGGACGCTTCACCGAACTCCACTGGAGTGCGGCAAAGCGGGTGCTGCTCTATCTGAAGGGCACCAAATCTCATGTACTCACACTTGATGGTCTTTCTCCTCCTCGACTGGAAGGCTACACCGATTCCGCTTGGGCTGATGACCAGACCGACCGACGCTCCTCCCAGGGCTACTGTTTCACCCTTGGCAGTGGAGTTGTTAGCTGGCGCTCCACCAGGTCATCTGCAGTCTCCCTCTCCTCCTGTGAGGCAAAGCTTTACGCCGGCGCCATGGCGGCTCAAGAGGCTCGTTGGCTCACCTTCCTCCTCCAGGAGCTTGGCTACCCTCAGCCCACCCCCACCCTCTGGTGTGACAACAAGAGCACCATCCACATTTCCCAGGATCCTGTGTACCACACTCGCACCAAGCACATCGAACTTCGCCACTTCTTCATTCGTGACCTTGTCCAGCGTGAACAGTTGAACGTGGAGTACGTTGCGTCTGACTGCAACTTGGCTGATCTGTTCACCAAGCCCCTTGGGAAGGTCCCTCACCATCGTCTTCTTGGCACCATAGGG